ATTCCTGTGCATCCGTTGGACTGCTTCTCTCACAAGTGACTTCATCAATTGTAGAGGACTTGATTGAAGTGAACAAAGTCTTTAAAAGAGCTAAAGCTCGTGGCAAGCAAAAGATGTACATTCATCCTGTTCCTCCAAAAGACATCCTCGTAGCCACTTGGGTTGACGCTGCTCATGCCAACAGACCAGATGGGAGCAGCACCAAGGGTGTTGTCATTGGATGTTCATCACATCAATTGTTGAAGGGAGAACTTGACGTGGTAAGTCCCATCTACTGGACCTCATCGAAGATCACTAGGATCTGCCGATCAAGTGCTTCAGCCGAAACTCGTGCAGCTGTGGACGGCGATGATCAAATGTTCGCCATTCGTTTTCAGCTAGGAGAATTTCTCGGTTTCCCACCAGACATCCATGATCTAGATGGATATGTGAGCAAGGTGCCTGGTGTTTTGATTTCTGATGCCAAGAACTTGTACGATCGTCTTTCTCAGACCATGCTCACACTTCGAGGAGCCGAGAAGCGAAGTGACCTGGAGAGCTTGTGCTTGAAAGAGTCCATGAATTGGGCAAAGACCCAACTTCGTTGGGTAAACGGTGACTCCCAGTTAGCGAACAGTCTTACCAAACCTACGGAACCTCACCAGTGTTTGTTGTTTTCGTCGCGGAACTGTGGGTGGAGAATCGTTTATGACTCAGAACTGATGTCTGGTCGTCGAAGAAAGAACCAAGGCCTAAGCGCCTTAGAACCAGACCAGGAAGGTGTGTCTCGCGCTTAAAGATTTTAGAATTTTGGGACCTGTGCGGATTTTCATCCAGGACCCATCTCACGTTTACATGTGATCTGGATCAAGCACCTTCGTCCTCGCTCGTGAAGAAACAATCTGAGCGGTTTGTGGAGGTGGAGTCACTGTGAGCTTCGCACTCAATATGCCTTATATAACTGCCCTATACATGCCCTGCTTGGCTTCATTTTATCGCTGGCACCATGCAGCTCACCCGCTGAGCTCAAGGAAGACTTCTGGACGGACACAGTATGCCCGCATCACTGTGCATCAGTATGAGGGTGAAAGCACGAGCAAGTGGGAGATGGTCAAGCTACCGTTTCTTGGTCAAAGAGGAGTGGTGAAGCCTGGCCAGCGACTGGGGTCTATCCTACACTAAGTTGTCTCGCCTTCTATCGTGATATTAGTGTTTCTTGTCGAGGGTCTCGTGATTGTGATTATCGTCCTCGTCGTCCTTTTGGTCCTCGTCGTTGTTTTCTGTTATTGTCATTTCCGGCTTTGTCTTTGTGCCGGCAACTGTTTCCACGAACAGTGCCTTACTGTTTGAAGAAATAGAGTAGGATGAGTACGGGGGAGTAACAAGAAGCCACTAGGGGAACAAGTGCATCGCTACCAGTGGGTTCTGGAGGCCTCGGTGTGAACGCGGCGTGTCCTGAGGCTCGACACAGCGAACTATGCACTGATCCTGGCGGAACGGGTCGGCGAGGATGAGTCTACCCTGGCAGTGGACTCACGGAACTTGACCACGGTGGGGTCGTTGGGGACAGTGAATGGCCCACTGGAGAAGATTTTCTTGGCGTCCAGGTAGCAGATGTTAACAGACCGGACAAAGAACCACAGTGGGCCTTTGTCCGCCAGAGTCTTGCTGACAGGCCATTTTCTTGAAGCAGCACCTCGCAAGCACTGGCCCTGAAGGTGGGCTGGAGAACTGGGAATCACCCAACCTAGAGTGCTGCAGGAAGGTGATAAGAGTTTCCACTAGGTCTCTAAGTCCTCCATTGGAATCATCCCCGTCCAGGGGTAGCCCCGGCCAGCCGACATGCAGTGTACAGGGCACCCTTGTTTTGAAGACTGACTTGGATCAGCTGTGCTCGGACCGCAGAGTTCCGCAGGTGCAATGACAAGGAGCTTCACCACCAACACCACTACATCCAAAGACAGCTCAGCACCTTATCGACTGGCGATTGGGCAGGGCTGGCTAGATGCCACGTTCACCACGCCCGGATCCAATTTTTTGCAATCATTTACCTGCTCAAGTGACTTGAGAAGGGATATTAGGTGCATGGATGTGCTGTTGTGCAAAGTGGCATTGAAAGGGATGGCCGGCTCGTCCTTGTCAGAAAGACCTTCGCCTTCACTCCTTTCACCCGTGAATGATAGGGGGTGACCCACTATATGACACATCTGAGAACCATTGAGCGAACCCGAGCCAAATCTGCCGGGGGTTGGGTGTCGTGCTCAGGTAGTCAGAGGCTCTAGAAAGTGCAAAATGGTGACAGAGCTGCTGGATCCCAAAAGTGACACTTGGATCACTCGAAGCATCGGTGCCCCACTTTCGCTGACCATCGGGGTGGGTACGAAGGGATCCCCTTGTCAGGCGTGCTGTTTCGACGGCCACACTGTACTGCACTCCGAATTCTTGTTTTTGCATACTAGATCATAACTTCATAACTAGTAAAGGTGCCAGGTGCTTAGTTGTCACATTGTTGACTGCAGGAAGTGGTGAGTGCCATAGTAATCACTGCTTGGCAGCTATAACGGAAGCCGTGATCACGGGAAAGAACACATGAACAGACATCACAGTGAAACCACGATAGTTATGGCATGTTATGGCATTTGGTTCACATCCCTGGCCTAGGAGACGGTGCTGGCTGGCAACACGGGAGTAAGGCAAGGCATTGTGAGGTGTTAAAGTGGGGCGAGCTGACGCAGAACACGCCAAAATATTGACTTCAAGATAGACACACACACACACTTACATATATAATCGCATATATATATATATACACATTGTTTGCTCTTTAAGCATCTGATGAATTATTGTTCATCCTGGGGTTCTTCCTGACATGCTACAACATGCTACAACGACTGTACGTCTTTGGGAGCTGGCTACTCTAAGCGGAGCAACATCATATCAGCCCCTGTAGCTTGAGTAGAAGGCAGGACCGCAGGATAGGTGACTAGCCGGGGCGGACCGAATGCGCGAGTTTTGGAGCACACATCCACCAAGAGGGGCCCAGGCTGAGTTGCAAGAGGGGCACTGCTTGAAAGTCGGATGAGAAACCTGAGTTTCTCTCAGGAGTCAGGGCTCCTTTATGTACACCAACGCACGGGAAACGGCCATTTACGCCATGGCCGTGGAGCAGCGTTGCATGGCATCGATGCTTTAGGGCTGTTCATCTCAGGCCACTGGCTATGCCACACGATATCCCATGTAGTAGGCGTCAACCAAAGTCCCGTTGTGAAGGGGGGTTGGCATGCAACAAAACGTCAAAACGTCACCCTTCACTTCGTCAAACTAGAATTGGTGTGAATTGTTGTGCCCACAAAGCACTCATGGTCTTTGAGTTCACAGACGGAGACGGTCAAAACTAGCCATCTGCCTTAAGCAAAGGCGTGATCCTTCAGCCAAATTGGGATGTTGGAGTTCTTTGTGGAAGTGTAACTTCTACTTTTCCTGTGAGCCCACAACAATCCATAGCGTATTGTAGAGCTAAAACTTGCAACTCAGACTATATTTATATAGTGTATCGGGTCCAGTTGATGATCAGTGCTGAGCTGAGGTGAGGTCTACGACTTGTTCCTTCAACTGAGTGACTCCAAGTGCGATGCGGCTAGACTTGAATTGTGCTGGAATTGCGGCAATTGTGCGGTGCAACTTAACTTTTTTGGCCCACACTTTGAGGTAGGCTATGTCACGGCAGCGCCGGTAAGTCATTACGTGACCGGGCATCTTGGCAGTGTTAGAGTCCATCCTCATTGCCTCTCCAGCTACGGGACCAAACGCGCCTTTGTCTCTGTAATGGAGATCTGGGCAAATCAGCACCATCCCAAGGATTGAAGACGTCTCGTTCTATGAGATGCAGCGTCGTGTCTTTCAGAGCCTCAGCTGTGCCATAGGGGGTGGCCACAGTTGCAGCAACGTGCTGCTCCGTCAGCGCAATTATATCCAACCTACTAGCGATGGCCTCCAACCTAGTAGCGATGGCCTCCACCCTACTAGCGATGGTCTCCACCCTACTAGCGATGGTCTCCACCCTACTAGCGATGGTCTCCACCCTACTAGCGATGGTCTCCACCCTACTAGCGATGGCCTCCACCCTAGTTACTAGCGATAATGGCCTCCACCCTAGGGCCTAGTAGCGATAATGGCCTCCACCCTAGTAGCGATAATGGCCTCCACCCTAGTAGCGATGATGGCCTCCACCCTAGTAGCGATGATGGCCTCCAACCTAGTAGCGATGGCCTCCACCCTAGTAGCGATAATGGCCTCCACCTAGTAGCGATGATGGCCTCCACCCTAGTAGCGATGATGGCCTCCACCCTACTAGCGATGATGGCCTCCACCCTACTAGCGATGATGGCCTCCACCCTAGTAGCGATGGCCTCCACCCTAGTAGCGATGATGGCCTCCACCCTACTAGCGATGATTTCCTCCACCCTACTAGCGAGGCCTCCAACTTAGTAGCGATGGCCTCCAACCTAATAGCTTTGCTTTTTGAGGAGCTGCCGCGGCATCCTGCTGGGCTGGCGCGACTTTGCGGACCGATACCCGAAGCTGAATCCTGAGAGGAAGGATCAGCAGATCGAGTGGGAGGACACTCACTGTGGGGTAGTTCCTACGCGCTGAGCTTGCGCAATCCACTATAGAAATTGGTTGCAAGGAATCAGAGTTCGATCCTTTCCTTGCCACCTTCGAAGGATGTCAGCGGCTGCGAGCTTATCATCTTGCGGCCGGCAGATGACAGCTTGCCTGACGTGAAGTGAGAGGCCTTCGAATGAAAGCTCCCCAAAGGGCAAAAGTGTGTTGATAAAAGCGATATGCCTGAAACATATGAAACCTTGAAACCTGATAGCTGCCAAAAAGGGAAAGTGTTTTTAGATCCCTTGGTCTAGCACTTCGTGCACTCTACCAATTCACATCGCAGTTGTTTGTCACACCTGTCATCCCGGAGTCCGGCAAAGCCGGAGCATCCGTAGGATTCCGGTGAAACGGCCCATGCAAAACGTGTGGCGGGTGCCTAGTGGCGCTTGCGGGATGCTGGAGGACCCGAGATGACCCGAGCACTGTGAGAAATGATCAAAGGATTCCGAGGATTCCCAGCTACAAGTGTTACAAGATGTCACAACAACAACAACATGAAAGAGCGCTACTAGTAGCTCCTGGCCTTACTACTAGTAACAAGGACGCTACTAGTCACAAAGGGCATCGCTACTAGGAGCAAGGATGCTACTAGTAAATCCTCTCAAGGTTCTTTGTACAGCTTCCCGCGGCGGGACATGTGGGGGTTGGCTTGCAAAAGCAGCTGCTCAAATATGTTGCATGGCCAAGGTGCAAAAAAAAGGAACAATTTGAGCATTGTGCAGATCAGTTGGGACTCCGTATAGCCCAAGGGAGAGAAGCAGCGAGGTGTTGCTTGTGGAGTCCGAAGAAAACTGTAGGCTGCTGAATGCTTGTTTGTGGGTGCGGTACATCCTTTTGCTCAAGTTTGCTTCCGGCACTAGAGGCTCGGAATTGATATCATTGCCAGTCACGTCATTCCCAGTACACTTGTTGCTTGAATCTAGGTTTCCTATCTACAGTACCTGCAATGGCTCCTGACAATTCATCATCAGAAGTCTTGTATCAAAGCTCAATGGGCTAGGCTGTAAGACGGGAACGTTTTGACAAGGCCGTTTGTATGTTCAGCGCATGCAGCCTGCAGCGTTTGAAATGGCGGTACCTCACGGCCGCTGCAGCACGTGCGCTTTTTGGCCAAGAAACAATTGAGGAAGCTTTGAGGTGCTTGGTGGCTTTGTACAACAAGAATTCACGTGTATGTGCCAAATGGGGCCACGGTTGAACAACTCTGATGCTTTTGCATCTCGAAGGGTCAGGTAAGAAGCCTTCCAGACGCTTGTCCTATTACTATCGCCCAATCAATAGTAATTATATAGTCACTTTGTCCCAAACCAGACATCAAAAGGTATTTGAAACAGTGGAGCACAGAGAGAACGAAAGAGAGAGAGAGAGAGAGAGAGAGTTGCAAACATAGTTGGACATTGTCGCTCACATTCGGGACAATCTCTGTAATCATCATTGCAGGGGGATCATGTATGAGGGCATAAGGGTTGAGTCTTGCGCACATGATGTCGGTTCCTACACACCCCAGGACGGCTGTGTATCAGACGTGAAAAGGAGGTTGACAAATAAGATGCACATGTACTGACACGCAGTATCTCACATGAACATGCTTGATTCGGCACCCATGGTGAATCAAGGCAAAAGTTCGGGCGGAAGCCATGCTAGCAACATTACGTCCACTTCGGCACGCTGATGTCGGCTAAGTTTTTCGCGGAATTCCAACTTTTGCGAAACAGTGATCTGGGAGTTTTATTTGGCCAGGAGAACTGCAAAGGGTTCTTTTGTTGAAAAAGATGTGCCACCTGAAGACCTGCTAATTACTTCTATGCACAGTGCTACTTCTATTTGCTTTTTCTGGTACGTGTGTGACATACTCGCATATATACTTTTCCTCATCTAGAAGTACACTGCATCGTCCACGTGCATATGTTTTTGCTGTGCACCTTCCATATGTCCACGTGCGTATTATATCGCCGTGCATCTTGCATATGCATACGTGTATGTGTAATATGTTCGCTGGTTGTTTTGCATGTATAGAGCTGCTATGTAGCTATCTCTTACGCGGGTGCGCGCGCTAGATCTGAGATACGCCGCTTCTTTGTATCTTCCCTCTCAAAGTCGGCGGGGCAGGCCAGAAGATCCTTGCAAAACGTGACCCTTTGTGGGGATGGTGCGTGTCGGATGCTGTAGGGTTTTGGGAGGCCGGGTGAGCCCTCTGCGGAGATCGTGCGTGTCGACCGGTAAAACGAAGGTGTGCACAGCCAAAATGTGAAACGGTCGCTGTCGTTGAAGATGAAGGGGTGCTCCGAGAGCCAAAGTGTGAAAACATGAAAAAAATTACGGCCGCGATGGCATGGGCGCTAGTAGCCGCTACATGTTCAGAACTGGTTTGTTAGCCCAAATTGTACAGCAATTAGCTATTGGAATAGTACAACTATTGCAACTGTAGCGGGGCGAGTAGCTGTTGGGAGCTGCGGGTACAACTGCATAGTGCACATGTAATTGGGCGCAGTCAGGCGCACACACACTTATGGATATGCATACGGAACTGAAAGCGGTGCCACACGCCGGCCTAGGGTTCCATTTCCTAAGAGTAGTAAGGACCATCAGAGCCTGGAGGTCTTCAAGAGGAACTGAGGCCAAAGTCTCAAGTCGACGACGAAGCGACAGGGTGACGACGGTCGTACTTGTCTGCCGAGTGAGGTTCTTGGCTTAGCCTCGTGCCAGTCAGAAGACTCGGAAAATGGCAGGTACGTAGTTCTGGCGTCCCAGAACTATATCACTGTGCGACAGATGCGTCTTCGTTGGCCGGAGACATCTGAAGCACACTCCAGCCCCCTGCTTAAAATGAAAAAGAAGAAAGCGCAATCCGAGTGGATCCCTGTGATTACAAGGGGCACACACACACACACACACGCCTCCCCGAGGGGAGGCGTAAAGCTAAGGTGAGGGCCAATGTGCACGTGTGCGCGCAAAAGACAAAAGGATGAAGACATGACAGGAGGACGAGACGGGACAAAGGTGCGTGTGGTTGAAATGAGAGGGGAACCAAGGGCACAGGGACACCTGATGAAGCCCACCTCATTGTAAAGACCTGGGCGACCTGAAACCTGTGTTGAAGGTATGTAAAAGTGCACGTACACACTAAGGCCGGGACCAATGTGAACGCAAACGAAGAAAAGGATGAGATGACCAGACATGAAGACAGGAGGACATGAAAGAAAAGAGGAAACAAAATAGCGTGTGAAGGGGAAGGGATGAAAGGGGAACCAAATGGAGGGGACGAAAACCGATGAGACCAAACCTCATTGCAAAGACCTAGGAGACCTGCCTCGTTTCAATGTACACGCTGTGTGTGCACCCAAGGTCGCGACAGGTTCCAATGAACCTTAAACTGGCTTTGACCGCTGTGGTCACCTTGTGCCCTGCCGAAATGGCTGGCTGCTTTGACCGCTGCGGTCACGTAAAGGCATGAGCCAACTTGGAATTCCAAAAATGAGACGAACTTCCCACTTCTTGTGGCATGAGCCAGCTTCGCCCGCTGTGGGCACTTACGTTTCCAAAGCAAGGGAAACAGCGACAAACCCCCCTTCGACGGGTCTACGGGAGGCACTCTGCGGGCTCATCCCGGGTTGGCACGAGGCCAAACACACTTATGGATATGCGTACGGAACTGAAAGCGGTGCCGCACGCCGGCCTAGGGTTCCATTTCCTAAGAGTACCAGTAAGGACCATCAGAGCCTGGAGGTCTTCAAGGGGAACGGAGGCCAAAGTCTCAAGTCGACGACGAAGCGACAGGGTGACGACGGTCGTACTTGTCTGCCGAGTGAGGTTCTTGGCTTAGCCTCGTGCCATTCAGAAGACGCGGAAAATGGCAGGTACGTAGTTCTGGCGTCCCAGAACTATATCACTGTGCGACAGAAGCGTCTTCGTTGGCTGGAGACATCTGAAGCACACTCCAGCCCCCTGCTTAAAACAAAATGAACTAGACGACGAGTGGCCCGAAAGCATTTTTCATCACGTAGGAAGTCAGAGTGTGAGTTATCTGTTAAGTGTTCAGTGTGAAGTGTTAAGTCGAGTGAGTTGAGGCAGTGTGTGGGTCTCTGTGTGTGTGTGTATCTATGTCTGTGTGTGTATGAGTCTCTGTCTGTGTGTGTGTCTCCGAATAAGTTGAGGCAGTGCGTGGGTCTCTGTGTGTGTGTCGGCCTTTTAAGAGAGCCGGGTGGTCGGGAGACATGACTCAGCTGCAGGGGCGCCAGAGCAGCTGCGAGAGATGACTCAGCCGCGAGAGATGACTCATCCGCGCACTAAAGTTGCACTGCAAAGTCACCAGCTCAGCTTCCAGCTCCACAGATTGCTCCGCGTACTAAAGTTGTACTACAAAGTCGCCAGTTCTCATCTTCCAGCTCCCCAGATACTCCGCGTACTAAAGTTGTACTACAAAGTCGCCGGTTCTCATCTTCCAGCTCCCCAGATACTCCGCGTACTAAAGTTGCACGACAAAGTCGCCAGTTCTCATTTTCCAGCTCTCCAGATACTCCGCGTACAAAAGTTGTACTACAAAGTCGCCAGTTCTCGGGTTCCAGCTCCACAGACTGCTCCACGTACTACAGTTGTACTACAAAGTCACCAGTTCTCATCTTCCAGCTCCCCAGAGACTCCGCGTGCTCAAGTTGTACGACAAAGTCGCCAGTTCCCAGCTTCCAGCTCCACAGATTGCTCCGCGTACTAAAGTTGTACTACAAAGTCGCCAGTTCTCAGCTTCCAGCTCCACAGATTGCTCCGCGTACTAAAGTTGTACTGCAAAGTCGCCAGTTCTCATCTTCCAGCTTCCCAGATACTCCGCGTACTAAAGTTGTACTACAAAGTCGCCAGTTCTCATCTTCCAGCTCCCCAGCTACTCCGCGCACGACAGTTATATACTACACCGTCGCCAGTTCGCAGCTACTACCCACTCGCCAGTTCTCCTCTTCCCATTCCCCAGCTACTCTGCGTACTACAGTTGTACTACCAAGTCGCCACTTCTCATCTTCCAGCTCCCCCGCTACTCCGCGCACTACTAAAGTTGTACTACAAAGTCGCCAGTTCTCAGCCACTACCCACTCACCAGTTCTCATCTTCCCACTCCCCAGCTACTTTGCGTACTAAAGTTGTACTAACAAGTCGCCACTTCTCATCTTCCAGCTCCCCCGCT